ACTCATTAACAAACAGAGATATGCTGATAACACAACCTTGCTTGCTGAAAAGGAAAAAGACTTGAAGCACTTACTGATAAAGATCAAAGATTATTGCTTTCTGTACAGATCATATCTCAACATAAAGAAAACAAAAATCCTTACAACTATATAGAAGACTTCCGGTAAGATGGAGGAATAGGCAGACAAGCTACACAGACCCTCCTCAACAAAGAAAAGAGAAAACAATTGACACAGATACAGAAGATAATCCTGGAGCCCTGAGTTTTGAAAGGAACCATAAGAAGTGGATTGGGCACCAACTAGTGGAAAAACCTGAATAAAAACAGTGAGTACAGAGACAGACAGGGCTGTGGACTGTCAGCTACTCTGACGGGACCAACAGCCTGAGTATTTCCAAGTGGTGTTGGGACCTGAGAAATGACCTAAAGGTCAGCTCTGGTCACCAAGGGCTGCAGGGACCACTGCACTGGTGGCCTATGACTAGGAAGGGAAACAGCAAGGTGGGAGACGACTTGAGTTCTGGACTTTCTACTGTCCAGAGGGTGCAGCCATTTTGATTGTTTACACATAGCAGCCATTTTGGATATTTAAAGTGACTGAGGGCACAGCCATTTTGAATATTTACAAGTGGTGGCCATTTTGGATATTTAAAGTGACCAAGGGTGCAGCCATTTTGAATCTTTACAAGAGGCGACTATTTTGGATTTTAAAGTGACAGCATTGTCATTCAGATTCCAGGGACCTAAGAATAGGCGGTGTTTGCCAAGGATGGCAGGGACATATGGGATGCTGACAACAGGAAAGGAGATAGGTGGTGGGTGAGTGTGTAAGTGCTGCCAACTAGCAAACAGAGGAGCACAGCACAGTACCCAGCTTACGTAGATAACATACAAACAAAACAAAGAAAATGAAAATCATGGGCAAGTCACTCCAACATATAACCACCAATTAAATATATACACAAAAACATCACAATGCCTCGGAGACAACAGACCATCACAGTGCACGCAAAGAAGCAAGAAAAAGCAGGAGAAACAAGGGACCAGGATAGAGACCCAAAATACATCCCTGAGGAAGATGCAGCATTGGAACTACCAGATAAGGAATTCAAAAGAATTATATTTAGGTGTTTTCAACCTAAATTGAGAGACAGATAAAGGAAAACACTAACAAAGTTGAGGAAAACACAGAGAAAACCCTAGAACAATTTCAAAAGACAATACAAGAACAAAATGACAAAATAAATGAAAAATTAGAACTGATACAAAATCTACACACAGAAATCCAGAAGATTAATACTAAATTTTCAGAAATAGGTAACATATTGAAAGGGCAAAGGAGTAGAACTGAATCAATGGAAGACAGAATTAATGAGACTGAAGGCAAATACCTCAATACTTCTTTGGAAAGCAATCAATCAGAAAAAGATCAAAACAAAATGAAGAAAGCCTAAGGTTCATGTGGGATGTTGTCAAAAGAAATAACCTATGTGTAATCGTAATTCCAGAATAGGAAGAGACAAATAAAACCACAGGAAAAAACTGTCCAAGATTTGTTGGAAGAGAATTTTCCTGGTATGATGAAAACTGGGAATACAACCATTTAAGAAGTCCAACAAACCCCAAACAGGATAGAACCCAAAAGAAAATCACCCAGACATATCATCATCAAACTCACCAAAACCAAAGACAAAGAAAGAATCCTGAAAGCAGCACGGGAAAAACAAAAAGCTACCTACAAAGAATAACCAATAAGAATAAGCTTGGATTTCTCGGCAGAAAACACGCAGGCAAGAAGATGGTCTATATAAAATCCAATCAAGAATTATGTACCCAGCAAAACTGTCCCTCAAATATGATGGTGAAATTAGGACATTTCCAGACAAGCAGCAATTAAGGGAATTTGTTAAAACAAGACCAACCTTACAAGAGATACTAAGGGGAGACCTTTGGACAGAGAAGCAACAACAGCAAACAACAACTGACCATTAATACACATGATGACATAAGAAACCAACCCAGCTATGAAAGTATCCAAAGTAAATAAGCCTACAAGATTGTAAACAGGGAACCAGAGACATTAATTGACAAATGAGGACAACTACAAACCAAAAAAAGGGAAAAAAACTGTATAGTTACAGATGGTAGGGTAGGTTTCTCCACTAGTTGGTAGAGAAGTTAGGACAACTACAAGACAGAACAGACTGTTCTAAATTTGGGAAGAAAATTATAAATCACAGGGTCACCTCAAAGAAAAATTATGAACCTTCACATCAAAATCAAAAAGAGGACCAGCACAAATATTTAGCAAATACTAAAACAATAGCGACGAAGGAAGTGATAACACGATTCATAAACAAAACAAACTCAGCACAGAAAATTATAAGGAACAAAGAAATCAACACCACGAAAAAGCACATAACAAAAATGACAGCAACAAATTCATACTTGTTGATAATTACGTATCTGGCAAGGGACTTATCTCTAAGGTATATATAAAACTCCAATGCCTCAACAGCAAAGGAATTAACAATCCAATTGACAAATGGGCAGAAGACATGAATAGTCATTTCACCAAGGAGGATATTCAGGTCGCCAGCAAATACATGAACAGATGCTCATGATCAATGGCCATCAGAGAAATGCAAATCAAAACAACAAGATACCATCTCACACCAGCACTGATGGCAAGGTTCAACAAGACAAATGCTGGCAGGGATGTAGAGAGATTGGGACTCTCACACGCTGCTGGTGGGACTAGGAAGTGATACAACCACTGTGGAAGCAGTAATGGCAATTCCTTAGAAAGCTGGAATTGGAGATACCATTTGACCCAGCAATCCCTTCACTAGGTATACATTCTAGAGAGGTGAAAGCCAGGGCAGGAACAGATACATGCACACCCATGTTCATCGCAGCATTATTTACAACAGCAAAAAGATGGAAACAACCTACGTGTCCATCAGTGGAAGAGTGGATAACCAAACTATGGTACATACACACAATGGAATAACACTATGCAACACTAAAGAATAACGTAGAATCTGCAAAATACTGCATAACATGAATGAACTTGGAGAACATTACGCTGAGTGAAATAAGTCAATCACAGAATGACAAATACAGTATTAGTTCGTTGTTGTGAAGGGTCAAGGAAAGGTTTATATATGGAGGGAAATTTTGGTAGCATAGTGCCTGAGGCACTTGACTGCTAACCAGAAGGCTGGGGGTTCAAACCCACCAGCCATTCCTTGGAAAGAAGGTTGGGCAATCTACTTCCATAGTGATACTGCCTCGGAAACCCAAGGAGGGGTCACTATAAGTCAGATCCAATTCGACGGCACGTAACAACAACAGGGGTAGGAGGGGAGGGGAGGGGAAAAAAATGCATTGACCCATGACACTTTAGTTTGGTGTATCTCACGGTCCATATATTATATTTCAATAAAATGCATTTTAAACAAAAAATCATCACAACTAGACCAATAAGCAACTGGAGAAAAGCCTAAACTTGTCAAGAATTTCATTTTACTTAGATCCACAATTGAAAGCCCACAGAAACAACAATCAAGAAATCAAATGACATACTGCACTGACCAAACGTGCTTCAAAAGACCTCTTTAAAGTGATAAAATCAAAGATGTCACTTTGAGGACTAGGGTAAGTCTGACCCAAACCATGGTATTTTCAATTGCCTTATATGCTGGACAACTGATAAGGAATACCAAAGAACTGATGCCTTTGAATCATAGTGTTATCGAAGAGTACTGAAAATACCAGACTGCCAGAAGAATGAACAAATCTATCTTGGAAGAAGTACAGCCAGAATGCTCCTTAGAAGCAAGGATGGTGAGAGTTGATCTTACATACGTTGGACATGCTATCAGAAGGGACCAGTCCCTGGAGGAGAACATCACGCGTGGTAAAGTAGAGAGTCAGTGAAAAAGAGGGAGGTCCTCAGCCAGAGGGACTGACCAAGGGACTCCAACAAAGGGCCCACACAGCAAAGACTGAGGAGCACAGGACGGGCAGTGCTGCCTACTGCACATCAAGTCAGAGTTGGAGCCCACTCCACAGCATCTAACGACAACACATCTGAATACGGTCATGATAAGCTTCATAGCTATGAGAAAGGCAAGTATAATTCCTCCAGTTCTCTGATGAAACCTCATTCTAAGGAATCTAATCCGACTGTGATAATACGTGATCCATAAAACCAGGTCCCTAATATTCTTATGTATTTTACTTTAGAATTACTGTGTACAGGAAAAACTATGTTTTCTCTCCTCAAAGACCTATTACACAAACCACATCGTGATTTTCTGTCAGCCATGGACGTTGATAAATCTGTCTTCCTCTTTAGTGAAACAAAGGCTAACCGGCTGGCGCTGGCCCTTCGGGCTATCTCTGTTGTTATGTGCCATGGAATTGGACTCGACCCACAGCGACCCCTCCTTGGGTTTTCGAGGCGGTATCACTACGGAAGTAGATTGCCCAGTCTTCCTTCCGAGGACAGGCTGGTGGGTTTAAACCGCCAGCCTTCTGGCTGGCAGTTACCTGCCCTAGGCACCACGCTAACCAGAGCCTCTAAGCACCGTCATCCCACATCGCATCCCGGCTGTCGGCTGCATCAGCCTCCAAAGCCAGAGTGAGGGCTGCACCCCAAGGCCCAGGTCCTGCAGGGCAGGTGCACCGCCCACTCCCACACCTTGTCGCTGGAGCTATTATGAGTCCGAGGGGGGGGTACGGGGCTGGGTTCCAGGCTCCTCGCTTGGGAGCGTCGCGCTAAAGTGAGAACGGTAAAGGTACCCAAACTACACAATGCCTGCCACTACAACTTCAGTTTTCCTCTGGTGCTTAAACGTTGCTTTGGGCGGAGACGCCAAGAAATTGGTCTCCCAGGGTTTAAACAAGATCGGAAAGAGGGGGCAGGGCGGGATGGAGCAAAAGAAACGGGAAAGAGAAGGGCTTAAGGGACAGGGACGGCCCGGCACCTACCACCTGGGCCCGCGGGCCGCCCGGAACAGGGGCGGCGGCAACCGGGTCCCTGAGAGCCCGCATGGCCGGGCGAGCTCCCCTCAAGCCCACGCGGGCTGCTCGGGCCTCCAGTCGTCTCCGCCTCAGCCTTCGGCGAGTGCGCGTGCGCAGCCGCTTGCCCAGGGGTGGAAGGTGGCGGGGGGGCAGGCCTGGGACCGCGGCGGCCTCCGATTGGTGCAGAGAGACGTCGATCCCGCGGGACGGGGCGGGAAGCGCGAGCGGCCAGCAAACAGTCGAGCCGAACGGCCTAGAGCGGCCTGGAGCGGGCTAGGTCGGAGGGGCGGGTAGGCGTCCGCCGGGTTCCGGCCTCTGCCCGGGTTCCTGGCTTCGCCCTCCCTTTGATCCTCAGTGGGTGCTTTATCGTCGGTAGCGGATGAGTAGCTAGTCGTGACGTCTTCTCTAACACAAAAGGTATAAAGATGCTTCGTGGTGAGGAAGGTAGGATCGTGAGAAGGCGTCAAGCTGAGGGTTGTAACTCAGAAGCCAACGCTATAATTCAAGGTTATTGTGTATCCTTTTCAACAACGGTGTGGCGCGACATTTTCATCTGAACTGCGTTTGACCCGAATTTGGAGAAGGAGCGGCCAGGTGGGGTGGGCGGTCAGGACCCTCGAGAAAGACACCTCTCATTGAGGAAGAGGACGACAGAGACAGGTACATGGGAGGTACAGACAACAAAGATGAACCTTTTTGCACATACAGTACTGCGTTGTCAGTGAAGGCAAACATGGCTATACGGGCAGATAGATGGGTGGACAAGCTGAACTATTAAGTATGTCTATGCAGGGGGGAGTATACCCAAGAACATGTATAGGGTTGGCAGACAATATTTCTATAAGTGTATTTGTTCTGTAAGAATTCCAAGGTGTATAGTAGAGTTGACAAGGGACAAGGTTGTAGTTACTTCTTGGCCACAGCCAGCTACCCAGAGGGAGCAAGTAGTTGGACCTGTGGCCTTGGGACCATAGTCACAGGGGACATCAAGCTCATTTGGCATAACATACTACACAAAACATTGTTCCACATCCTGCTTTGGAGAGTAGTGACTGGGATTTTAAAGGCTTGCAAGCGGCCATCTAGATGCAACGATGGGTCTGTCCTCATCCAGAGCAAAGAAGAATGAAGAAAACCAAAATTCATGGAAACAATTAGTCCTAGCAACTGGTACACCATGCGATCTGCAGCCTATACGACTATGAGACCAGAAGAACTAGATGGTGCCCGGCTACCACTGTCATCCACTTGGAAGGGGATCTATGTAGGAGATCCTGGACAGAGTGGGAGAACAATGTGGAACAAAACTCAGAATCATTTGGAGAAAAAAAAAAAAA